TTTTCCAATAGCAGTTAAGTTTCTAGTTTTGGGTTGTTCTGGGTTTTTAATGCAGGTTACACGGAGCAACCACGTTATGCTGCCATCTTGGTCCGCGGCTCCATAGCGCCCCATTGTAGTATCTTTAATAATAATAATGTTATACTTTATTGATCCCTGTGGGGAAATTCCTCTCTGCATTTAACCCATTCACTGTGAAGCAGTGAATGAAGCACTTTACCTTACAATATTACGCACCTTGAGCTGACTGTTGTTGTAATTTGGGGCTATATAAAACAAATTGAATTGAATTTAAATTAATTACATTGCTTTAATAATTCTACTGACTACTCCAAGGGCCCATCTAAACCTTCAGTTAGCTCCAGTGCTTTATTCTAGCTCAGTATCTTGCTCAAGCACCCTTAGACATACGGACCAGGTGGGCTGAAGATTCATCCACTAACCCTCCAATAAAAGGACAACCCACGTTACCCAATCAAATTCCAGCTTTCAGTACCAGACACTCAAGGATCCAAGTACTAACCAGGCCTGATTCTGATTAGCTTCCTAGATTGGGTAAAACTGGGAATTGACAGAACCAATGCAGCCCCTTGTTGGATGAGGCAACTTGTTGTGTTTTGGCTTTTACATTGGTGCTCCTGCAGTGTGATGTGTGATGTAATGTAATGTGATGTAATGCAAAAAGCGAGACACTTTTTCAAGTTTGACCCGGTACGCCATGTTTATGACATGTTTACGTTGTCCTGGTTAATGTCAAGCTGTCATCACAAAGACATATCAATCAATGTAACTTTGTAATAAAAATGACATCGTGACACTTAATGACAACAATCATAAACATTCACAAAGACTTGTGACTTTGTGACAAGAAGACTTCGTCATGACTTCTTATGATGGCGTCATGTCTTAAGCTCATCCCTAAAAGAAAGTGTGTTACCGTCACACTAGATGAAGAAAAACTGCAAATCAGAATCAGAATTATATATTATCAATTAATATATATTATATATTCCTAATAAATGTTGGAATAAAGAGATCTTTTTGGTGATTGACTCTTAAAGCTCGGCTCCACTGTCAAAGAAAGGCCCAATTTTTGGGGGTTTCAGTAAACATGTTCAAAAGTTTTTGGGCCTAGTTGATCGTTTCAGGTCTTACTGATCAAAACATGAAGTTCGTGTGATGTCTAAGCTTGCTAAGATGAAAACAGATCATTGCAAATCTATCGGTGACATCACGGTGGCTACGTTGATCTGCGCTTTATAAACCGGCCCACATTTTGCTTAACATGTGAACAATTACATATTCACTACATTCCAGGAGAAAATCACAGCCGCATTTTTGAATCATCACTGATTTTTCTGCAGTAGCCTCTCCCAGCCACTGACATCAGTAGTTCCAACATTAGGCTCAGCAATTTTATGGTTCCAGTCTTTTTTATCAGGTTCTAGAGAAAGCACTGCTTCAGAGCAAAAGAGGTATGAAGCATACTCACTGAAGGACTTTCACAACAAATTGATTAGAGTGGAATTAAACAATCTTCTGGAACCAAACCAAAGAGTTAGTGTATTACAAAAAGGGAAACAACTGTTAGTGCAATGGGTGAACGCAATATCACGACAGTCAGGGCATGTACGATACTGGGGTTTGTTCAATATAATTGATGTGTTTCTGTTATTGTTATCTATACTGTCCTCTGTGTCCACTTTCCTTGTCATTGTTTGTTCTAGTATAATGTGATCACTGTTTTTGTCCTTGTCACATGACCTGTAAATAGTGTCTCTGTATGTTTTTACTAACTTGTGTTTAACACCAACCTGCCAGAGGGTCTGCAGATGGAAATTAGCCCAAGGCTATAATCTGGCATATTTACATTTGTTAAAATGTTCATTAATATGTATTGCCCCTCTTTCTAAAAATAAATAAATAAATAAAAAATTAATTTAATTATCAATGATTCATAATTTACTGTTTTCAAGTTAGAAAATCTTTGGTGTTTATTTTAGAGCATTTTGGGATTTTTTAGTCTGGTTTGTACAAAAAAACTGAAGCTCAAGTTTTGAGACTGTGATTATATTTTTTTAATCAATGTCTATAACATTGTTCCTTTTTTATCCTTTGTGCATAATGAAAATACTAATTCAACATCTATAGTAATACCGTTTCACATGTAAACATTATTACATAGCGAATTTATGACATTACAGAAATACAGTGAGAGTCCATTTACCTGCATATGCATGGACATCTGCCTGCGTCCATAGTCAGCCCTGCTGTAGTCGTCACTGTAGCTATGTGAGTGGATGATGCTGGGTTGTCCCAGGTGACCGTCCCTGGTCCTGAGGGTGGACAGATCCTCACTGCGAGAGAACCCTCCATGGGCGAACTGTGGGATGTAGGACTGGTGAGAGGGTTCGGGCTCTGGGGCCAGGAGAAGGGGTGCGGGGGGTTGAGCCCGGCTGTGCTGGTGATGGAGCTGTTGCTGTTGAGGCCCATCAGCAGTCGCCAGATGAAAGAGGGGATTCTGGAAGGAAAGCGGGTAGCGCATGGCGGCGGCCTGCTGTTGCTGCTGCTGGGATAGCGAGTCGGTGGTGGTGCCCATCTGGCTCAGCTGGCTCAGCCGGAGGCCACCGGACATGCTGGAGCCGCCGGAGCCAGCTGACAACCTCCCACCGGCCCGCAGCTGGCTGCTCAGGCCCGACCCCAGGCCGCCACCGCCTCCGCTGCTCAGCCCGCCGAAGCTGCCCATACCGGCGATGGAGGCCTGGGAGGAGTTGAGCATGTCCACCGACTGCAGGTTAGACACGCTGTTCATTCGGGAATCCTGGAGGTCCATCATAGATACGCTTTTATTGACACTGAGCACCTAAATAATAAGGGATATGAGAGGCTAGTGTGCCCCCTGTTATTGCTTATGTTAGGTGGCCACGGATGATGGGTGAGGGTGGTGCGGGTGTTTTTACCGCGAGGCCTGCCTGGTTATCGGAATGCATCAAAGTATTTCCCAGGAAATACCGCTAGGATGAGTTGCGTGGTGAATCAGTGGGAAAAAAGCAGATGTCATGATATACTAGAGCCTCGATCACACGATGGCAGATTCTTACAGTATGACCAACATGCACGTCATACTAATCTCACCTTGATAAAGGTAAACCTAGCGGATGAGATGGTGATTCCCCGAGTCAGTGTGGTAAAACTCACCTTAGGATCAGGTTCTGTGATATCCGAGCTGCTCGTGCAGTACGCTGGGCTGGATCGGGCCAGGGGAGGGCGTGATACGTAAAACATGTCTTTGGAGGATGCTCGATGAGGATGGTCACGGTCCTGAAAACTCATCTGGGTACGAGATGGCATGACCCCTCCGGTGGATGTAGGGGAAGGCAAACGGGTGATATCTATAGAGCTGGAGAACAGCAGAAACAGGAGGTGAGGCCCGAGTCTAACAAACTCTACACTCTTCCCCTATGAACAGTTTATTTAGACACTATATTATTATGATTGCAACAGCGCTGGAAGAAGCATCTGAATCGTTTCTTCAGTTGGTTAAAATCAAGACTGAATGCTTCCTCTGTTATTAAACTAGGATGTATCACTCTATCAGGCTTTTATCTATAACTAAATTCAATGTAACGAGCAAACGTGCGGTGTGTGGAAAGGGCGAGAAGGTCCTTGAACATATGTAAGCTGCCACAATTACATAAACATGAATTAAATATCTTCTCCATCTTGCTCTAGTCATGCTGACTATTTTTACCCAGTTTTATGCAGTGTTAAGATAAGTTCAGTGGTTCTGAACATAAAGCTGAAATCCCCTCTATAGAGTCACTGGAACAATCTGAAGTGGATTAATCTGATTACAATTACGAGTAAGAGGGTAGGGTAAAGTTCTGCTGCAAAAATCTGTATTTTCTTCCTCTAATTTTAGGCTTTTGGAAACATTTTGTTGGATGTTGTTACCTTAAAATGTTATTTAAATTAAACCTTAGTAAGATGTCTCTCCGCGGAGATCTAGGCTGTATCCCAATTCAGGGTCTGCAGCCTTAAAGGCC